CCCCAAAACCCCAAAACCCCAAAACCCCAAATAGATATGAAAGATTGAATTTGTAACATTACAATGCCCTTCTCACTTTAATTTCCAGCCCTGACTCTGAACAGATTGCTGATGATAGTCGAGAGCTTTCCCACATTGAACTCAAGGACGTCTCCATATAGAACAGATTTGTTAGGGTCCTTCTTCATAATTGACAGTATCTCCTCCTGCTTTATCGTGAATTTTAGCTAAAGGTTAAGATAAAGACTACCAAGATGGAACTCTTAGTGTTCTTAATCGCTGCTCCACACATTGCTGTCTTTGGCCTATCCTTAAATATAACTTGGCCTTGAATATTATAGTTCTGGTCCTCAAAGAAAGTAACACCAAGGTTGTTCTTGATAGACTCTAGCTCAGGCATCCTATTGAGGTTGACTATAGTTCCATCTCTAAGCAATTTGGTGAACCTCATTCTATGGAAGGACTTAAGGTCCCTCTTCTGGTCATTTGTCAGATTCTCAAAAAGCTCCTTGGAAGCTATCGATTTATTAGACTTTTTGAATATCTGGTTAGCGTATTTCATTTGCTTATTTATAGACGCAAAACTCTCAAGTTTACGATTAGCTCATCCAAACCTATAATTTTTGAACAGATTATCATAAGCAAGCTTCAGATTAGTGAAGCTGATGGGGTACTGATTCGAGTTACTCTTTGCTAGCTTATCTGACTTCAAAGCTACGTGAAAGTCCTTCTTATAATACTCAATTTCACTTTCAAGGTCAATCAAGTTTTGAAAAACAACTCTCAAGTAAGTCAAATGCTGGTTTCTCTTAGAAATTTCATTTTCTATTCTATCATAGTTTTCGGAGTGGATTTTATCAGAGAATTCACTGCGAGTGATCCCATCTTTGCCTCCATTCTCTTCCCATTTCTTATCAATTGTCTCTACAATTTTTAGTTTGCCTTTTCTGATTGTCTCTGCTTGGGGATTTGCATGATTGACCGGTTGAGCTTCAGCGTCAAGCAAGAGTTCGTTCATGCTGTTAAAACCCCCAGACTCTGACTCAGGAGATCTCAGCACAGTAGCTATACGATAACCACCTAGACTTACTATAAACTGAATGCAGGCTTGATAAATCACTAGGAATAAACCCACTAATCAGTGTCTTATGAACTGGCTGAGAGTACTTAGTTGTGAAACACGCATTACAGTCAGTACATCTCTTGACTGTCTGAAATGGCTCTGCAAACATATTTGTCTTCAACTCAATCTGTATTTTATGACTTTTCTCCTAAAATATAACATCTATATCTTGCCTTGATGTTTTCGTAATACACAATATGCTTTATCTTGCTTAAAGTTGATGATACGAAGTCAAAGTCGGACTCCTCACGCCCAAAGATAAGCTTTGGAGACTTCACTCATAAATAATGGAATTTGATAAATTTGTCTATATTGTCATAAATTTATCTTACCAATAGAGACGTTTATTTTCACCCCTTTGTGATCAAAAGAATGAACAACAAGCTTCTTGAATAAGTCAAGCTCTGGCTTGTACCCCTTGATTTTGTCGACAAAATTGAAGTATAAATCATCAATTCTGCTCCTTGCTTCCCTTTTGAGGCTACTTTTCACTTCCTCGAACAGATCCTTGTAAGGATGGTAATCAACTTTCTCAAAAGGATCTCTATAACCGATAGTAGAAATGAAGACTTCAAAGATATTTTCTAAGTTATAGAGGTGGAATTTTTGTAAATCAGCCTTGATCTTCCTAAAACTGTCCATATCTCTGACGTAAGGGGTTAGTTGTATCTTAAAATCTCTCAAGATATCCATAATATCTTCAAAGAACAACTCCAGTACTTTTGAGTACATAATATAGCCCTTTGATTCATTCGGATATCGAAGCTTTAGAATCTCAACTATTTTCTGAATAAAGTAGATCATCTCATAAGGCATTGTAGCCTCATAGGCTTCTTTATTATCTTCACCTTTAATTTCCTCCTTATTTTTACTTGATTTCTTGAATTCATAAGCATTGTAAATTCGTGAATTAATCTTGGGCATCTCAAACTTTCTCTGGCTAGGATCCGGGACATCGAGAGTGTCCTCTCTGAACTTCTTAAAAAGGTCATCTACAAATGCTAGAATTCCGTCTCTCCTCTTCAGCATGGAGGCTTCGTTCTGTACGTTATTGTTGTCATCAGCTCCATAATCGTCCTGATCCAAGAAGGCCTTATCCGTAAAAACTCTATTGATCATATACACACAGACAAGGTGGAGGAAGTACTTGACTCCTGCTCAATCGTGGAGGATGAACTTCCACAGTCTATAAAATAAGCATTCTGGTCGGTCCTCAGCCTGCCGTTCTTCATCGTCATCTGAGAAATCTTCGATCTTGCCTTCTTCCTTCTCAGCCTCAGCACGTTTGGCCTTGCCCTTCCTGGAAGCCTTGTTTTTACGCTTGTTTTTGGCCCTCTTTTTGTCTGTCTCGATTTTGATTATACTTTTAGAAGGAACCTTCTTGAGGTTTAATTTACTGGCATCGTGCTCCCCGTTCGCTATACGAGCAGTTATAAGAGATTTAGTGAGAATTTGAGCATTTAATGCTTATCATTCTGAAACTTAAGCTAAATTCCCTTTGCTTATTCATTATCCCCAAAATAAATTTTACATTAGATTAACGTTAGAGTTATTTTAGTTGCTCGGGCACTCAAATTGAGAGCTGGTAGGTTACAAAATTTGATAACTGTCTCGAGCAAATTTGATAGAAAGTCGGATCCACCAGAAATGAGCAAGTTAAAAATGGTAATTAATATAACGCTTAGATATGCACGATTGCCAAGAATATCAATTGTAGGTTGGTTTAGTATCTTACCTATATCCCTCTCCAAAGCAGTCAGAGTGTAAGATGTTAGATAGCCAACCTTCAGATGAGAGTTTGACTCGTATAGCTCTGTGATAAAATCATAAATCTCGTCGTCAGTCATTAGTTCATTATTTTATGATATTGTTAATGTATCAAGGATGAATGTATAATGCAGTCATGATGTCTTTCAATCGTTCATACCTATATCCATGGATTGTGGTACTTACTCTGAACCTCTCTTCAAATCCCTAAAAATTAAGAGTAAAATTTACGTTATCTCTCTTCTGCTGATATTAAACGGTTTGACTGACACTCTTGAAATAAATGCACTTTCGATTTTGAATTCATTCTTCTGCTTATAAAGATACATTTCGATGCATGTCTTGACGATTCCAAGGATGATGTCAAGATACTTCATTAGCTTTTTATTCATTCGAATAATGGACATTTCATCGCATCCATGATCTCGTTCATCAATTAAGTACCGACTTAAGCCTTGAAAACGGTTCGTTTTGGAGATAGACAGGATTCTGACTTTGGATTTCTTGACAAACCCCCAAAACATGTCAACATCTCTTTCACTGACCGGCCCTCTTGTTGCCTTATTCTTTCGTTTAAAATAATCCCTCGTAGCCACTTTGGTGGCCTCTTGCTTCTCTTCTCTAGTGACTTCTTTAGGGGTCTCTTCGTCAGGAATAATTTTCTTTTCTTCCTCATGAACGAGATCTGTCTCAGTAGGGATTCTTGCTCCTCGAGTAGCACCCCTTTTCTTGTCATCATACACATCCTCGTTGTCATTTAGAAGCCTATTTTTCTCTTTATTCTCCTCAAACTGTTTGGAGAGGAGCTCTATCGGCCTCGGACTATATAACCAGGTTACATTTTTTGCAAAGAATTTGTATATTTTGAGGCTAAGAGGAGAAGTTCAAATTCTCTTGATGGCCATAGAAAGCAAGAAGAGAAAATGGATAAATTACTCTTTGACCCTTCGATTCTTTCGCTTCTGATACTGCTGGATTTTTATAGGCAAGCCAGTACTTCCCATTCTGTCAAATCCCCAACTATACATTTCATTTCCCATTGTAAAGATGCTACAATGGTAGGGACCTGAGCAGATATCCTTAATCAGTGCATCTGAGGGTAAGTCCACTTTCATCCCCGATGATGCTTTGGGCCCGCTTGTGCTATCTAATGATAATTAAACATTATTTACCTGCAGATTTGAGGAAGTAGCCATATTCATAAACCTCTCCCTTAGTTGTCTTGACTAATGTCTTATTGTATCAAACAGAGATTTTATCTATTTCTCTGTTGGCATCTTCTAAAATAATTGGTTCGAGTACATCTTCAGTCACCTCTCCAGTTAAACAATATTCTTTATCTCCAAAGAACATCAAGTTTAAATCTTTGGTTAATCCTAAAGTAAATGAGAGCCCTCATTGAATGTCAATCAGCCTAGTATTGAGATAATTTAGCTTAGTAAGTTCTTCAGGTTTAGTAACTTGATCCTTTGAGCCAATCCCGAGCTGCCCTTTGTGATTTCTACCCCAAACCATAGTTTTCCCGTCTTTATTTGTAATATCGTTTGCATCGTAGTCTCAAATTACTGCCATGTGGTGAATGCCGAGCCCGACTTTGACAATAGGTGATTCTAATTCTACTAATTCAAATTCAGACTGGATATCATTTGGAACATCATTCCCTAATTTTCCAAACTCACCATTCCCACATGTGAATAGCTCTCCGAAATATGAGAGTCAAGCTGAGTAATTTTCTGTTGCGAATACAGCTTTTACTCTTTCTTTTCGTAAAGCTTGGACAACTGTAGGAATCTCGATTTTAGGAGTGACAAAACCATGACCCAATTGCCCATCATCATTTCTTCCCCAAGTATAAACATCTGTAAAGCTAGACAAAGCAAGGACATGGTGGGAGCCAACAGCCACATCAACTATCATAACTTTATTACTTATAGGAATTGTTCATTGGAAGGGTCTAGACAAAAACTCTAAAACTCTCAGAACATCTTTCTTCCTTCGATTAAGCTCTTTCTTTCTATCCTCCTTATTTTCAATAGTTGCACCAAATTGCCCGTGATCATCGTTTCCATAAACAAAGATTATCCCTGTATCAGTCAATACTAGAGTATTTGTAGCCCCAATTGCTATCTTGTAAATTCCTGTTGGGAACTCAAGTTCTCTCCTTCATTCACCTTTACTGATGCTCTTCATATAATTTTTCTTGATGAGCTCTACGCCAACTCTTCTTGGAATTCTCCCATAAGTTACATCTGTTCTTCCAAGTATACCTCTTCCTGAATACCCCCAAGTATAAATAGCTCCGTCAGTGTAATCAAGAGCTACAGAAATATTGTAGCCAGCTATTGTAGATTCTATCTTAACGTAGTCGTCCTCAAATGAGGCTTTAGTTGGGAAAAAGGAATCTTCTTCTGTCCCATCACCAAGTTTTCCATCTTTACCATGCCCAAATGCAATAACTTCATTATGAATTGTAGTGAGAAGTGTATGCATTGCCCCACATGAAACATGAATGAACTCACGATCTAATAGATCTTCTAGTCGTACTGGAGATCGAGCTTCCTCATTAGAGTCAAAACCAAGTTTCCCATTACTATGGCATCCCCAAGTAAATACCTGAAATCTTGAATTGATACATGCTGAATGTTTTTCACCAGCCGATATTTTGATAATCTTTTCTTCGATAAGGTCTTGAACTATCTTAGGGTCTTTCTGACTCTGGTTATCTCCATGTCCCAGCCTTCCGCTATCTCCATTCCCCCAAGTATAGAGAATGTAATGCTCTGTGATTCACATTCAGTGAGAGTAGCCGCAATCTATTTCAATGATTCTTTGCTTGTAGCCATTCTCATAGATTTCAATTTCATGAGGCATGATAAGCTTCTCAGGCTTTAATTTGCTAGGCATATTTTCATAAAACAAGTCTCTTCCCCAGTAATACATTTCTCCATCAACTGTTAAGGCCATTGCATGATCTGTACCTCAAGCTACTGAACGAATAGGCTTTCATGTCTAAAGTTTTATCACAAATGTTACTTTTGGAAAAGAAATCATTCTAAACTTCTTAACTCTCATTAGATCCTCTGAAGGAATCGTCTTAGTAACCTTCCGATTTTCGGAAGATTTATGAGATCGATAACTATCAGGCTCATCCTCTTCAACAGTATTCCTTGGGTAATAATTGAATATAGTAGGATCTGCTCACCCAATGCCAAAAACGACCCCTTGACTTTTGTCAACTTTATAAATTTTGCAATCTAGCTCACCAATATCAAGGGTCTTGCTTCCTTCTCATAGCTCTTCGGCAAGCTTGTCTATATGCTCTTGCTTTATTCCATAAAAATCATTTATGCGTTTGATTTCCTCTATAAGATGGATTGGATCAAACAAATTTTCTTACCATTTTCTGAATCAAGTAATTCATTCATCCTGATTTTGAACGATTTCTTTGAGATCTCATAGTTCTCATAATGAATTGGAGACTCGAACCCTTTTAAGTTATTATTGTCAGGGATGTATTCCTCTCCATCGTAAGGATCGTCCTCTCGAAGGATCTCGTACAGGTTTGTGTACAGCTTCCTCCCAGAACCTTTACTTCCTCCTCGGCTTGGCTTTAAATCTATATCTAAAATCCTTTTGAGGTAATTATAAAAATGCTCAAAATCTTGCTTGCGTGAATCCATTGATGGTTTAGGAGCAGAGGTTGGAAGCTTCATCCCGATATTTTCTTCATCGTAAACTTGGCTACCAATAGCTCCTCCCATTCTTCTTTTTTGTTTTCATACAATCATTGTGTACTGGTTTCCTCAGCTCACACTGAGAGGAATGTAAGCTTTATTATTGTGGATAATGGGAACCTTATTGATGATATTCTCTTCCCAGTTTTCAAGTGCTTCAATCCGATAGTTTGTCAGTGTACCCCACATATAAAGCTCATTGTCCTGCCCGATTGCAGCTGAATGGTCAAAACCACATGCAACAACAGGGGGTATTGCCATAATTTGCCCCTTTTTAGCTCCTTGCATATTAATTTAATTATATAAATTCAAATTTTAGATACCACCTAGGGGTTTTGGGGTTTTGGGGTTTTGGGGTTTTGGGGTTTTGGGGTTTTGGGGTTTTGGGG